TCAACTGCAAGATGCTATCCTATCAATATGGGCCAACATTTCTAAAGAATGCTTTCAGCACCTTGTTGAATCAATGCCACGTAGAATTAAGGCAATTCTGAAGGCGAAAGGGGGTCAAACACCGTATTAGTATGGTGTTCCTAATAATCCTTATAGCCTATCGGGCTATATACAGTCGTCAGACGGATGTGGAGGTTAAGCAGCCTTTAGATCATACCCATCATGCACTGCAGTTTTTTGCAAATTCCTCAAACGGAAAACCATTAAATACAAAAGGAACAGCTTAGTTTGACTTCAAAACATTACTATGTATTATATTTTAAGTTTGTTGTAGGGATTTTACAGGTTTTATCTAAAAATTAAAATATTACACCATACCCCCACCATAATAAAAATATATGCAAAAAATGACAGATATATTAAATTGCAAGTTATAACTATAATGTAAATGTTATGTTCTAACTGTCAAGAACTTTAGAAAAATTATATTAGTGTATGAGAAGATCCTCTTTTTGCTGGGGGTGGGGGCTCTCTGTGATCCAGGGGAGGGGCCGGGCCCAGGGGCGGTGGCCCCGCCTGCCCCGCCTATATCTCCGCCACTGCCCGGAGCCTATCCTGGAGACTACGGGCACAAAGCAGAGAACGACACGGGAAGATATGTCAACCCATCGCAGGGTACCAATTTGTACTTTGAAGGTACAATTACTTGTCACTGGGGCTGTACCCTCAAGAGGCTGCGAATTGTACCCTATACCTGTACGTAAATGTACCATTTAATGTACAGAATTAGGGGTACATTATTATTTTTGTTGTACATTGGGTAACAAAACAGCGCCAGGACTGAGCCCTTTTCTCTGACAGCACATTCACTCACACATACACACCTACGGGCAATTTGGTAACTTCAGTTTTTGGACTGTGGGGGGAAACCGGAGTAGCCGGGGGGAAACCCCGCACTCACACCGGGAGAACATGCCAACTCCACACCCACAAAGCCATGGCCACAATATGAATGGGATTCATTTGACTGATTTTAATAGAGGAACGCATTTGAGACTTTTCCCGCATAATAAGGGCCAGCCCATAATAATTATATGGCGCGCCTCTCATCCCGTTTCCCTGCCTTCGATTAGGGGTTCCTTCCAAATTCCAGAATTTGAAGGTGAGAAATGTGCGATAAACAAGATTACCCGGGATTTTAGAGCAAGTGAATAGAAATAAGGGGACGAAGAGCCAAGGGGATTGGACCTATAATCGCAATACGGCACATATGCCAGTTAATTATGCCGTGATCTAATTTATTTGAGTTGCTTAAAGATGATGTTAATCACACTTCCCCCAGCCCTCGCCTCCGACCCCCAAGCGCCACAACCTGTCATATTTCCCAGGAATAATCCGGTGCACTCGGCCGGGCCGCCTGTGACGCGTCTTCCCGCCGGCTGCTTCTGCGGCCGGCCGCTTCGGCACCTCCGAGCTATCTGGGTGACCCAGTTCCGCAAGCAGCTCCCCGCATTTCGACGCCTGCAAATCTGGGCATATCGTATTCAAAAAAAATATAACAGTAAAATAAAAATAATGAATAGCCACAGAACCACATCAAAATCACCGCCCCCTTCGAATAAAATGTATTGGTGTCGGCTTTATCTACGCATGGATAATTGTTAACAAAGCAACGTGAAATTACATCGGCGGCTAATATTATTATAGTGGCTAATACTACACAGGGATTGCATTCGGTGTTTAACAAAAAGTACCTTTGGCAGGTGACTGATCTACATTTCTCTGAGGTGCTAAAGTTAGACCAACATTTAGGCGAATACATGATAAACAAGGAGCATTGGTTGTCAACGGAGAGCCCTCATTCGGTTCAGAAACACCCCGTGGGTTAGACTGGTACTTTAATCTGGTCCCCCGGTAGTTTGCCTGCACTTGCTATTTCTAAAGCTCGCACGGGATCTCATTTAGGTGTCCTCCATTCCGCATTTTCCCTCCGTCTTTCACCCAAGTAAAGCGCTGTCTGAATCACAGGAACAGCGTGAGGAAATAAGTCAATATAAACAAAAAACGACAAGAGCTGTACGAGGGGGGATGCAAATGCAATCGCTATTACAGGAGGAGAGTGTGGCGAAAGGAGCTGGAAGTGACAGCGCGTTTGACAGGCGTGTGTTTCATTACAGCCCGAAAGCAGAGGATGCTGCGGCGGTGCGCTGACACGATTTTCGGCTGAGGAACCGGATCGCCGCGCTTCCCTTCCTGCTTTAGTCGGATGCGGAGTGAAATGCACATCCACTCTGACGATGTATATTTATAAAACGTTTTCATTTTTTTATTGCCACCCCCTTTCTTTCTGAGTTGCATTTCTACAGCTTTGAGTAGGATGAGGATGCTTGCCCGCGCAGCCTTCATTGCTCGTCGCTCACTTAAATATTTACATTATATGGCAATGATCGTTTAAAGAATTGGCAGCCAGCGATACGATGTTTGCGTTATTCCTGCATTGCATGGATGATCTTTAAGTGACAGATTTATGGACTACTCTTGGACACACTGACGAAGCTCTCGCCGAAGGCGGATGCAACCTAGATTTCTCTCCATTGCGGAATGGTAAGAGGTCAATTTGTGGGAGTGTTTATGCTCCACGCCTTATTCTAGTCCTTAATTTGAGGATTAGTCTTGATGTATGAACGTCTTAAACACCCTCCTACAGAAAGGTAGCGCGTTCGGCTGCCACAGCGTGGACACTTTCATCTGTGATATATTCTCGCAAAGACGCGGCGCAGCGGATTTCGGGCATCGGCAACTTTCATGGCTTTCGCGTTGAGGAGATGGAGAATGCTGCTGGTGCTCAATGTGATCGCCGTGGCGGGCTTCGTCACCTTTTGGGCCCGCTGCAACTCGCGTACCGTCAGAGCCGCCGGGCAGGACTTAGCGGCCGATGCCAGAAGATACGCTCGCTATAATCTCACGGCGCAAGCATCCAGCGTCAGTCATGAAACCCTGCTCAAGAGACTCGGCTCCCTGGAGGATGTGGTCTACAGGCAGCTCAATGGTAAGTTTACACTCTCTGTTACAGAAGTGCTAGATTTATGCATCCAATGCAGAATTAACAGATTAATATTAGTAAAACACCACCCACAAGTGGCATTACTCTTGCTGTAAAATTTTTATAATGTGCCTCATGAACAAAGCTAAGGGACTGTTTTTTTTTTTTTTTTAAATGATCAGGACTCTCCAAGTCACTGGGTCTGATCGAAGGCTTTGGAGGTCGAGGTGAGGGCGGCTTTCCTGCCACCTTGACCCCCGAAGAAGAGAATGATGCAAAATTGCTGAGAGAGAAGTACGGCTACAATGCCTACCTCAGTGACAAGATCTCCCTGGACAGATCCATTCCAGACTACCGCCCAAGCAAGTGAGTGCAAGAGCACGGAACTAACTTCTAATAACGTACAGTAGTTTGGTGTAATGGTTTCTTGCATGAATTGGCACTGCATTTACCTGTTGATTCAGTTACATCAGGTCAGGAAATACCTCTGTGGTACAAAAAGTCATGGCCTTTTAACACCGTCAGGTAGTGTGATCTGTGCCCATGTCCAGAATGTCATAGGCTCAATGGATTTCGAAGTCGGTAGAGTTGTGGTATCACCGGGGGTTCCTTTGGATTCTGGCTGACCCTGTGCTCTGAGTGCAGGCTTTGCTCGCTTACTTTGGACATTTACATTTACTAAATATGTGGTTCTATCATTAGGTTCTGCCACCTGATGCCCTGAGTCAGATAAGGTCCTAAGGAGTGTAGGTTATAGGTGGCCTGTGTCAAACCATTACAATGATAAGCCTGCCAGTTCACAGTGAGGTTGGCTATGGCTGGAAACACAAAGAACATATAGTCTACAGTCTCAGAAAAGTGTTGGTTTACGAAGGTCCCTCAGTCAAACATTATTGATCGTCCTTAGGGATCATCATAGACTGAGATAGGTCTCTTACAGGAATGTACCTTGTTGGGTGGTTTCATTGTAAAATCTGACTCAGTTGTCATTGTTACACAAGTTGCTGACAATATTGGAACACATGACACACACACACACACACACATTGCCAGTCCCAAGAAATATTTGGTTGACCTGGAGTCAACCAGTGTGAGTTAGCCTGTGTGGGATCCTCCAAACACCGCCAGAGCCTTCAGCTGGATAAGCCAGTGTCCTCGCCTACCCAGACCCAGTGGAAGCTGTTACTGTGGGGAATTTTTATTCACCTAGTCATGTCATCACCTTAGTAAAATATCTGGGGCATGGGGAGACAAATAAATGCTTCTGGGAAAAAGCTAGGGCAGTTTGTAAGAAAGTCCATTGAGATCAAAGGGGCTGGTCATTAGCTGCATTGCTGAGCCACACCGGAGAGGCAGTCCTGTGGGTGTGGCAAGGTACAGACCGCACCATGACAGGAGAGGCAGTCCTGTGGGTGTGGCAAGGCACAGACCGCACCATGACAGGAGAGGCAGTCCTGTGGGTGNACAGACCGCACCATGACAGGAGAGGCAGTCCTGTGGGTGTGGCAAGGCACAGACCGCACCATGACAGGAGAGGCAGTCCTGTGGGTGCGGCAAGGCGTAGACCGTACCATGACAGGAGAGGCAGTCCTGTGGGCGTGGCAAGGCGTAGACCGTACCATGACATGAGAGGCAGTCCTGTGGGTGTGGCAAGGCATAGACCGTAGCATAACAGGAAAGGCAGTCCTGTGGGCGCGGCAAGGCATAGACCGTACCATGACAGGAGAGGCAGTCCTGTGGGTGTGGCAAGGTACAGACCGCACCATGACAGGAGAGGCAGTCCTGTGGGTGCGGCAAGGCGTAGACCGTACCATGACAGGAGAGGCAGTTCTGTGAGCGCGGCAAGGCACAGACCGTACCATGACAGGAGAGGCAGTCCTGTGTGCGCGGCAAGGCGTAGACCGTACCATGACAGGAGAGGCAGTCCTGTGGGCGTGGCAAGGCGTAGACCGTACCATGACAAGAGAGGCAGTTCTGTGGGCGCGGCAAGGCGTAGACCGTACCATGACAGGAGAGGCAGTTCTGTGGGCGTGGCAAGGCACAGACCATACCATGACAGGAGAGGCAGTCCTGTGGGTGTGGCAAGGCGTAGACCGTACCATGGCAGGAGAGGCAGTCCTGTGGGTGTGGCAAGGCATAGACCGTACCATAACAGGAAAGGCAGTCCTGTGGGCGCGGCAAGGCGTAGACCGTACCATGATATGAGAGGCAGTCCTGTGGGTGTGGCAAGGCATAGACCATAGCATAACAGGAAAGGCAGTCCTGTGGGCGTGGCAAGGCGTAGACCGTACCATGANATGAGAGGCAGTCCTGTGGGTGTGGCAAGGCATAGACCATAGCATAACAGGAAAGGCAGTCCTGTGGGCGTGGCAAGGCGTAGACCGTACCATGACAGGAGAGGCAGTCCTGTGGGCGTGGCAAGGCGTAGACCCGGGCTCATATTAAGACTGCTATCGAAGTAGCACAGAGGGCTGTTTAAAATTAGGCTCTATATCTGACGTCCACGGTGCCATGTATGAGAGCGGCAGGGGGGGTGGGGGGGGGTGGTGCCTTCATTTTAGAGTGGAGTGTGACACTAACAGACACTGGTTCATTGGACGGGGCAGGCCTGGAGTACGACTCCATGATGGCCTCTCGGCATTTTCCGTATCTCCAGGTGCAAGAAGGTGACGTATCCCCGGGACTTACCACAGCTCTCGCTCATCTTCATCTTCGTCAATGAGGCCCTGTCGGTCATCCTGCGTTCGGTGCACTCTGCCGTCAACCACACGCCGGCGCACCTGCTGAAGGAGATCATCCTGGTGGACGACTACAGTGACGATGGTGGGGAGGCCCTTTCCGTAAGGGGGGGGGGGGGTGTTGGGATAGTGCCTGGGTGGACAAAACAGGGATTAGTTCCACATTGTTTAAAACCACACCAAGTACAGCTTCTGAGTAGATCTTAAACTGCTCCAAATGACTGTTCATATCTCTGCTTACCACAGGTGGTTAGTAAAAAGTGATTTAATTCTCTTCCTCATTGTGCAAATGCTTCAGCCAAGCTGAACCGGAAATTAGATTCAGCTGAGCGTCACTGATTTGCAGAGGAAGAGGCAGTCTGGGCTTGTTTTTCTGGTGTAGGACCCAGACCCATGCATGGTGTCATACAGTGCAGGGAGTATCAGCCAATCGATGAAGGTGCAGACCTTCTACATACGGAGACTAACATTAATGACGCCTTTGTTCTCTGGCATTAGAAATTAGGTGGCTGCTAGCATGCAATTTGATATTACAGGCCAAACCGGGCCATTCATTTGTACCGATGTGTGAATACTGTTTCTGCACTTAATGTGTTGGACTCATTTCAGCAAGGCTTTAAGGTGGGGGGGGGGGGGGGGGTGGGGAGGGGGCCAGTTGGCACGAGGCCAGCAGTGTAGGGAGGGAAGAGGTAGCAGTCATTTGGACAAGGGGGTGGTTGCTGAATGAAGGTTGCATGCGGCCCTGGCTCGCTCCACGCCCCCCCACCGTTGACGGCAGTTGTCACGGGTGGGATGAGTGCTGATTTTCAGAAAGCATTCCCAAGAGGGGGAGGGTCCACTTCCATCAACAGAGATCAAAGCGGAGCATCTCTCTGGTGCCGTCCGGATAACGTTAGAGAGCGACCTCCGCATACGCATCACGAATGCGGCTTGTCCAGCTGGCTTTCAAATCCACCCACCTCCCCCCCCCCATTGCATGGCAGAGCAACTGAAAGCACCCCTGGAGGAGTACGTCAACAAGCGGTACCCGGGCCTTATCAAGATCGTGCGTAACCAGAAGAGGGAGGGGCTCATCCGCGCACGCATCGAAGGCTGGAAGGTGGCCACAGGGGAGGTGACGGGCTTTTTCGACGCGCATGTGGAGTTCACCCCCATGTGGTAAGAGCCCAGGGCCGGAAAGCAGGGAGCTAGGGGCGATGGTCCCCAATGAGCAGTACCTTGCAGAACCTGTGTGCATGGTTCCAGAGGGGGCAGAATCAGACTAGCTATACAGGTAAGGTATGAGTCAGGGGGGATTTGCAGAGAGCCGGACGTGTGGCCGAAAATGCAGACCATCTGTGATCCCTTTGTGCACTTCTCACCCGCCCCCAGGGCTGAGCCGGTTCTCGCCAGGATTAAGGAGGATCACAGGCGGATCGTCCTGCCCTCTATTGACAACATCAGGCACGAGAACCTGGAGCTGGAGCGCTACGAGAACTCCGGCCATGGCTACAACTGGGAGCTCTGGTGCATGTACATCAATCCGCCCAAGCAGTGGTGGGACGACGGGGACAACTCCGCCCCCATCAGGTCTGTAAGCCGAGCCGGAGGACGGCGCTGACGCTCGATGCTTCCCCACATGGAGTGCGCTTTCCTCGGGAGAGATCTGCAGACGGGGCCGGGACAGCGCTGCTCTCTGGCTCATGTCAGCTTTAACATGCTTTAAAATGCGTTTCCCTCCAGGACGCCGGCGATGATCGGGTGCTCCTTCGTGGCGAATCGCGCTTACTTTGGAGAGCTGGGCTTGCTCGACCCTGGCATGGATGTGTACGGAGGGGAGAACATAGAGCTGGGAATCCGGGTCAGTGTGCCACGTGGCGGTGGGCGCTTAGAATAGCCCCTGTGTCTCAGGAGATCCGTCCACCCCTGTAGGACGGAACTGCGGGTCCGGAGGATGTCTTTAGATGTGTTGTGAAATGTATGCTGTTCTAATACAGTGTGTGTGTGTGTGTGTGTGTGTGTGTGTGTGTGTGTGTGCACGCACTCAGGTCTGGCTATGTGGAGGCAGCATGGAAGTCCTGCCTTGCTCTAGGGTTGCCCACATAGCCAGAGTGAAGAAGCCGTACCACAACAACATCGCCTTCCACACCAGGCGCAATGCTCTGCGCGTAGCTGAGGTCTGGATGGACAACTACAAGGCCAATGTCTACCTGGCCTGGAACATCCCCATGGAAGTGCGTGTTGTCGCCGGATGACCGGCCGAGTTCAAGTCGCGTTGGCATCGTATACATCCTGTTCACCGTTCTGGTGCTTTCAGAATCATGGGATCGACATCGGTGACATCTCCCAACGAGTGGCCCTGAGGAAAAGGCTGCAGTGTAAGAACTTCGAGTGGTACCTGGACAACGTCTATCCAGAAATGAGAAGATACAACAACACCGTTTATTACGGAGAAGTGAGTGACTCGGTCGCAAATGCCGCCGCTGTCAGATGTTTGGCAGCATTCGGTTTATTCGACTAGAGCAGGCAAAGATATTTATTCTGTGAACCTGATAAAGTACAGAAACCGCAAGAGGTTTTGGTTGATCTCCAGCGTCAGCTTTCTGGGTTTGCGGTTCTGCATAAGACATCCTCGCAGAGAAGCACCAAACTGAAAATGCGGTACCAGGATGTAACCGGTCATGACTCATTTGAACACCTCATAACGCAGGAAGCGGAGCTCTTCAGCCTTGCGTGTGTTTGTGTGTGTGTCTCATTGCCCAGATTCGTAATACCAAAGTGAGTCACCTCTGCGTGGACCAGGGAATCAAGGAGAACCACACCGCCACCCTGCACCCGTGCCACGGATGGGGTCCTCAGGTAGGGTCACGCCTGACGCCTTATAGAATGAGGCTGCATGGGTGTGTGATCACCGAGCCTGACCCTGCTCCCCACAGCTGAGCCGCTTCACCACGGAGGGCCAGTTGCACCTGGGCCCCCTGGGCAGCACCGGGGAGGACACACGCTGCCTGGTGGACGACCAAGTCAGCAACCAGGCCCAGCTGCTCAACTGCGAAAAGGTGTCCAGCGTGCGCCACAAGACCTGGAACTTCTCCCAGGTAGGGGTGGCAGGCTCCCCCTGCAGGCCGTACCCGGAAGGCTCCCAGGCCCCCGATTCCCTGCATTCTGTGTCTGTATCTTTGGTGTCGTCTCCTCCCTCGCAGAACGAGGCCATTGTGAACCGAGGCACGGGACGCTGCCTGGAGGTCATCCCAGCCAACGTGAACTTCGGCCACCTGCTAGTGCTGCAGGCCTGCACAGGGCAGCGGTGGAACATCAAAAACACCATGAAGCAGCCTCAGTGACGTGGGGCTGCTGGCTGCCCCCCCCCCAGCCTGCCTCCGGGATCACGGTGCCGCTTGGCACGCTCGTCTGAGAACCGGCAACTAGAACTGCTGGCCACTGGGGGCACTGTGGAGCGTCCTGTTAATTATGGGGACTGACCTTTCAAAAAAAGAGAAAAAAAAAAACAGTCACATGATCCAGATTTTATCTTAACTGGGACCCCTGACCCCTAGAGGGAGAAGGAACCATTTCAGACTTTGGGTGTTTTAATACAGGGGCGCTTTGTGTTGAAGCAGATCGTTTTTTGGAAAATGCACGGCATTCAGCGAGGCACCGCTGTTGCGTTTCTGTGTTTGGACTCTCTCGAGTGTCTGAGAAGTGCTGTTCGTTTTCCATCCCCTCAGTGAAATTAGTTCCTGGTACCTATAATGTTCCCGATATTTTTGCTAGAGATAGATTAAGTATAGGGTAGATTTAGTTCTGGATGTTGCTTTGACGCCAGTGTCACGCATAAATCCATTGAGGGAGGTTATTTTGGACGTCTTTGGTTCCGCCTCACACCATGCACATGTAGCAGGTACAGCGGGAGTCTGAGATTATAACTCTCAAGTTCTGCCACGTCTTTATTAATTTGGTTTCACAGCACCGTTGGTCGCCGTTATTCATTTAAAACGCAAAATCGGGGGCCTGCAACTGGAAGCAGTTTCTGATGGGCTGCGTGGTTCCTGTTTCGGCACTCAGGACTCAGCAGTAACGCGAGTCGGCCTCGTCGTCATGCTTCAGTGTGTCTAATGTGACGTATTCTGTCGATCAGTCGTTACAGTCTGGGACTTCTCAGAATCGTCTTCCAATAAATTATATGATTCTCGGCTTTCGGAGTCTGACTCACAGATCGGTCGGCTGCTCTGGCGCGTAGTAAACTCTCGTACTGCGGTAGGCGTTTAATTGCACGGCAAAGCTTAGCATCTTTATGCTTCATAATTAATATGCCGTATAATTACACTCATTTAAAAATGCCAAACATGCTATCATGACTTAAAATTCAGCGCGTGGTCAGCAAACACCAGAGATGGAAAGCAAAAGCAGTGCATTGGTAATCAGAAGCAGTGTGAGGGGAGATTCCGGGAGAGCAATTTACAAGGTCAGGGACAAATTATTTATAGTAGATTGTGTGTGTGTGTGTGTGTGTGTGTGTGTGTGTGTGTGTAAAACAGTTTAAGCACCACAAAAAAGGAGTGTATGTTTGGTGTAAAAAAACAAAAAGGTCAGAGAGCTGGTCTCGCCTTAACCGCTGCGTTGAGAGACTAAACGACGCTCTGTTCCGTAGCCCTGGATGGAAGCGGCCACAATCCTACGGTAAACGCAGATTTGCATGCTGTTTAGCCATTTAGCGTGACTCACGCCTCAGTGAAAGCCGGCCGCAGGCTTCTTCATATCTCGCTTCCCAGTCCAGACGAGACAAAACAGGACGTGGCACTGTGTCCATGACAACCGCCGGACAGCGTTAACGGCACGTCACCCCTGTCTTTCGGGAAAGTCGGCTGCAAGCCACATGTTTGGACGGGGGTGGGGGGTGGGGGCCACCTCCCTCCTAAGGATGCTCCCCCACGTCGGCTGTAAGACGCGCAGAAGGAGTGTGCTGGCAGCACGGGTCTGTTCACAGCTGTTATGTTAGCGGGTGGGACACGTGGCCCGCAGCGTGACATGCCGCCACCCGGGGCCCGTGGAGTCCGTCGGCGCACAGGGGGCCGTTCCGACTGCCAGCTGTGCATGTCAATGAGCCCTCAACAACAGCGTCCACTGAGAAGCCCCTGCCCCTTACGTCACATGACAGCCGTCTTCCAATCAGCATCGCTGCGGGCTGGCCCCATATAGCTCGCCTTCTCTTTAGTGGCGGAGATGCGAGGCTGGCGGCTCCGGAGGAGATTAAGCCAGTGACGAGCCCGTACAGGCAGCGAGGGCCGATACGCGAGGGCCGGGGGCGTCCGCAGATACGGCAGCCGCAAAGCTTTCACGCGCCTGAAAATGAGGAGCTTCAGGGTCTGAACTGACTGTTATCTGAAGTGTCTGTAGGTGCTCCAGGTTATCGACAATTCAGATGCTAAGGGGATGGGGTACAGTACCTGTGAGTAGCAATGTAAACACCATAATCCATCAGATACCGCAATCTGCAAGGTCATTTGGCGTATAAGGTGTATAAGAATATAAGCTGACTTACTGATGTGTGTGTGTAGATTATACCTGTACAGTTGAAGTTGCCTTGGTGTCTCTGCTGTTTTCCTCCTACAGTCTGAAAAGATGGTGCCCCAGATGAGCAGGTGAATGTCCTGCTTTTAGCAGGTGACTCTTGAGTGTGTTACTGCCCTGTGCTCCATGACCCTCGGGATTGGCTCCCAGTTTGTAGCCTTAGCTGGCATAAATGGTTCTGAAGGGCAACTGAGAGTGCAACGTCCATGTAAAGACCACATGCGTCCACCAGGTGGCTCCACAGACAGAAAAACCACAAGTGACAAATCAACAGCTTTTGATTTCATAATACTCACATTTTCACCTTGATTTGTAATGGGTCGTTGCATCGTTTTCATGTTTTTGTTATGATTCTAGCTGCTGGGTAGGTCCTTGTAGCGTAGACGCTAAAGATATGGGTGGATGGAATGGACGGAAGGCAGGAACAGACGAGCGACACGTAACGACCTGCTGAGACAGAAATGCAGATGCTGGGGAGAAGGTTAAAAATACTATGCGGTGGGAAGAATGAGGGGAAATGAGCCGAAGGCCAGTTCAGGGGATGTGCTGATCGCAGAAGCTCGAATCATTGGAGGAGGTTTGCAGAGTCAGTCAGTCACCCAGTGCTCAGCATCTTGGCCTCTTTGACTTCTGTTTGTAAGTCATTCGTAAATGTACACAGTGTCATCGTTCTGAGTGCACAGCGCCGTCTCCTCCATTTGTACCGCGGTACCTGTGTGACCAGCATTTAGGGCTGATAGTAAGACTTACCTTCCACTGGAGACCGTAGAGATTCCGGTGCTTTATCAGACTATTTATTCAGATCGTTCCCAGCCATGGGGCACGTCACAAGCTATTAGCATCATGTATAAACAACCCTTTCGAGCCGCTCCAGCTGCACTCCTGCCACGTGACCCAACGGGAGATGATGCAGGGACCGTAAAACGTGATTAGCGTGAGCATTCAGCCCCCTTCCCCCATGAGCCTCTTGTTTCATTTTTTTGCGTTGGAGAAACTCTGGGCTGTTGCCTTCATCTCCTGAGAGGCTCTGGCAGCTCAAGGGTCCAGGAGACGTCACCTGAGCTCCGCTCAGACACCGAGGCCCAGGGCAGGGAGGCGGCGACACACAGAGGACGGACTCGAACAAGGATGGAGGGGAACCGTCAAAGACACCTGTGCTCTCCCAGCTACGCGGAGAAGCCTCCTGAAAGGGCAGGCCAGCGAGAAGCAGGATTAGCACGTGTCACATGACCGCTTACAGTCACCATAAGGGCACATGTCACGTGATCGCTTATCGCCACAAGGGCACATGTCACGTGACCACTTACCGCCACCATAGGGGCACATGTCACGTGACCGCTTACCGCCACCATAAGGGCACATGTCACGTGACCACTTACCGCCACCATAGGGGCACATGTCATGTGACCGCTTACCGCCACACAAGGCCCTGCATGCCAGACCTCCCAGGTCCCCCAATGGCTCTTTTTAATTCGGACTAACAGGATTTGATCAGATCTCAAGCAAGACACTCAACTCAAATGTCTGAGCTTGCTCATAGAGAGAGGGGCACATGGCAAACAGAGAAGAGAAACGGCTTGAGCCACAGACCTTCCCAGCTGGTCTGCAGCTTCCAGCTGGTTTTTAACACCTCGTCTGCAGGGGATTGCCAATTAGGGCGAGTCCCGCTGATGGTTGTGGAGGCAGCTTGCAGGTGCAGAGCCATGCGGAGGCAGGATGTCGGCATGGGCTGGGTGTGTTTGACCAAAACCAAAAAAACAATGTTGACATGTGTCTAGTATAACATGCCTTTCAGGACCATTTAACCAAACACACGAAGGAAGGAGTTAAACCACAAGAAGGACAAGCACCAAACAGAAGGAACCGGAGCAAAACAAAAGCCAGTAGCCACCGTGTGCACCCTCAGTCTCTGCCCCCTCTCACCCGCCAGCCAATCCGGTTTGAGGTGTAACAGCAATCAGGTTCAGCCAGGATTCCATCACCTGAGCTGTTGACTTGTTCGGGGGACCAGCAATCAACAAATGCTCAGAAGCTGCAGACTCAGATGAAGCGTCACTCTTCTCCAGGTAGCAGAGTCAGGGATAATGTTCAGTCGAGAATGCATAATGCACAAATAGCATTACAAAAGGATTTTATTGCATAAATGATTCCATTATTTTTTGTACAGAATTCAATATTTACAGTAACCTTTTTCATAACTTCTTATAGAACAATATCTATATGTTTGTCTACATGTGTACAATCTGCATGCTGTTTACATATATTTATATGTCAATATTTTTGTATGCCGAGTATTTACAAATGTTTATACACATATGAAATTTAACCACCGTGCTACAGAAGTTTAAATAAGACTGCTGGCTGTTTTCCGCATTTCCTTTGACAATGTGTCTCGGCCCCTTGGATTTTGGAGGAAGTTCATCGAAGTTCATTGCGAAGCGGCTGGCTGAGGATTTACCATCCCTGCTGATTCGGAAAGAAGTTAAACACAGAATGATGCCTTCATGAAAGCGTGATAAATACAATGGTGAAAAATAATAAACAGTTGGATCAGGTGAACGATTAGGACGTAAATACCATTACCATTACGAATCTTCCCTGGGCTTTGTCCTTTTAAGTTAAATTAGTAGCATGTTACCATGGTAAAAGCACATTACAATACAATTTTCTTAATGTTAACTTAAAGGCATAATAATAAATAAAAATTTCATTTCGTAACAAGTCAGCTATTTACATATATTTTCTTTCCTTGGTGAAAATATTAGTTAGCAGCATAGAAAAATAATGTTTTGAATTTTTGCAGATTGGTTTTATAGGCCTAGTATTACCACGGCAGCAATAGAACTGCATTGTAAATCACAAGCCTCCAATGGATGGCGAAATATTCAGGCATACGCATGCAAATCTCTGTCTAACTGCTGTTTAAATAAGGATCACTAAAGGGAAACTCTTATTTTCATCTCCTCATATTTACCCAAGCAAATCAATAGCTCTAGAAATGATCAGTGTTACCAGAAGAGTCAATACCTTACAATAACTGAATATATATTAGAAAATTGCATCTAAATTATTTTACCCATTCAATATTAAATACATTCTGTTTTATGAGAAGGGGAAATAATTTTCTTATATTGGTTTTGTTCTCAGCCGCCCTCAGGCCTTCATACCATTAAGTGAAATCGACATTTAATGAACGTACAGTGCACATTTTGCAATACCACGACACTTATTACACTGACAAGGACGGCAGCAGCGAGACACGAGCGATAATTCCCGATCCAACCACTAGATGGGGTCTTTTCACAACTAAGTATCCGAGCTGTTCGCGTGGCCTGGTAGATACGCGCATACGCACGCACGCACAAGCAGTAATTGATGATGCCTTTTCACAGCACCCTCTCGCTGCATGTGGTACGGTGTGTGTTTAATACCTTCTGTTGAATGCTTATGGCTTGTGAGAAGATGTGGGGAACTCCGCTTTGGATGTGGCTGGAGGGAAAGGCATACAATATGCACATAAATCGCTGTCCCGGCAGACTGGACACAATGATTATAACAGGGGGGTTATTTACAGGATATTTCACTCTGCATGCGCTGGATTTAAAGCAGTCCACAGAAAACTTAAGGTGGTTAAATGTGCATAACTAA